TTAGGTTCAATTTTCGGATTCCGAACCTAAATCAGGACCAGCTGAACCGGGAACCGGACATTTCTAAAAAATCGTAGCGGTAGAGTATGGCTTTAAGGCTTCCACTTCGTTTCCCTCAGCTCCAGCCAACTATACTGTATATTTATACAATATTTAATTTTTTATTATACAGTATTTTATAATTTTGGTTATACAAATTGTTGTTTTGGTTCTTAATTTTTTATTTAGGTAATTGGTAAAATTAAATCTAATGTAAAATTTAAAAATACAACTATATTATAAAATTGTAATACAGAATATAAATTATTTATTTGATTCACTATCTGCTATATACTGTAATTGTTTTCTCTAAATACTGTACTGTATATGCATGTTCTCTAATTCTGTAATTGCAAATTTAATTAAATTCAAAATCTAAAGCCAGTTTCAGTTCCAAGATATATAGAATAATATAAATTATTTTTTAAAGTGCAAAGTACAGAATTTTTTCATGGTTATTAGTTTCAAAATCAATATGCTACGAGCCAATCAAATCCTAGAATCGACATCCATTTTTGGTAAAATCCCTGACTGAATTTATTTATTTCAATGAAAACAGAGAGTTGAGATTTAGTTTCGTTCTTCAGCACACAAACCGACAATGGTGAACAAAGCTATCAAAAATATTGTGGATCAAAATAGAGTCTCTACTTTGTTTCGTGATACCTTTACTGGTAAAATGCCTACATTAATGTCAAGAAGATCCATGATCATTTTTAATTGAAATTTGTTTTCCCAGGTCCAACGTGCCTGTACCATTGGCTCAATAATAGAAGACCCGTAAGTAATCAATCCCATTATACTTTTCCACCAGTGTTCGTGGATTCTATTCAATCATTAAACTCGTTTTTTCATCCAAACATTTAAATTTATGTACATAAGCCACGATTTCTTAGAAGAAATTTATCATATTTACAACAAAAGCCTAGTAAAAAGCTAACAAAAAAGTCTAAAAATGTACAAGAGAGAAAGGGGATTACATTTGACGAATTGTTCGAATATCGTGAAAAAGAGGAACAATTTCTTTCCACTAGGTGAATACGTCATCTTATGAACTGTTTTCATTAGTTGAGCTTACTTTAACCGTATTTTTACAGCCGAATCAAACGTGCACTTCAACTTACTTTTGAAGGATTAGTCGTTCATGGTGAGTGTAACCTTAATTGAGGAATTTTTTTTGGTGGAGAAAAAACATTAGAATTCTTTTGAAATATTCAATAGGTAATCAATAATATCGTAATATTTCTCGTACTAGCCAACCACGTGCCAGAAGAAGAACCTCATCTCCATATAGAATGCGAGATTACTCTTTATAAAATCAAAAGGGTGATTAATTCGTTCGGTTAAAAAAATTTAATAATTATTCATAATTATTTCATAATATGAATCCGTTAATTAATCATTTTATAATATTGCATAAATAAGGACCATTCAAGGAAACGTAGGGCAAATAATGGGAAATGGGACTCGTGTGAATATAGACAAATTTTCCGTACCATCATTCAGATGATTTACGGCGAGGGTGGTTGCTATGTCAAAGATCTTAAGTCACTTCAGCCTTATGTTACAAGTTTTGATGATACAGGAGAGCCCGTTCAGGATATAATCCTCAATTTTCGCGTTTATGCCATCAATAGCCAGACGTGGCCTCCATATACGACCCTGTCATCATCTCAAATACCGGTAGGTAATGAGTACGGAAAGCTAAACTCTGCATACAACCTTGGGGATTGTTCTAATACGCGTCGAGCTCTGTGTAACCAATTGGGAGTTATTGAGAATGGAAAATTTATCAAGGATGGACAATATGATTTGAATTTGAGGCTGACGCATGAACAAGAATCCATAATATCTTCTGATTGGAAGATACGTTTTACTCTTTATTGGGATTGCAAAGTACATCTTCCACTGAGACCTATAGAGACTAGTCCATTAGCAGTTTCTAATATACACCATGACGAATTACCAGTAACCTATATATATCGTGTAGCTGATTGTCAGTTGACCCAAGTTGTTAAAGGGTTTCGATGTCCATGGTGTTCTCATCTTCGTTTTAAAGATAGTGGGAGCATGATGATTCATCTTCGTTGTAATCATATTCATCTAAAGTTCGGAACAAAGGTAGATTATTCTAATCTGATTTTAATTACTGAATGGACTGATATTGATGTACAATATTTTACCGTTGAAGATTGGCAGACAATTACCGAGCGATCGTATTATAATCGTGAGTTCAAACGAAGATTTTTCAGAATTTGATTATTTCATAATTGACAAGAAGGATGGTAGTTGGACTGTAAAGCCATTCATATATCCGCTCAAAAGGCTTCAGTCTACTTCGCAAGCTTCACCTGCGTTATTACCTACCAATAATTTTTATCATTCTCATACGTTCATGCCATTCAAAGATGGTGATGTTGATTCCGAAGACGAAATTTGTACGCATTGGTTAGAACAGCTAAATGATGAGGTTAGGATAATGTCAATCAAAGATTGTCTCTTTTCGGCTTATAACGTTAGATTTAATAATAATCACATTGACGTGTTAGACTCTGGATGAACTTTCTGATGTGAGTGATAAAGGAAAGCAAATGATGAAAATTTGGAATAGATATATAGAGCCACAAAGGTAATAAATAGATTATATTATATGATTATGTCATCTATACCATTAAGTATATTTGTTGAATAAGTATATTTTACTATAGGGGACTTGCCGATCGTAATCTCCCTGATGTATGTCTCCAGTTCGCCAAGACACGCGCTCGTCAAATTGCTGAATTAGAACTGAGAAATGAATTCGCATTTCACTTACTCAATATCTTGGAATTTAAATTGATTGATAGTGCATGTGTCACTAGATGTTTAGGATTTGTAGATAAAGTCACTAACAAGGTGTGTTGATATTGTCCATTGTTTCAAGTTCATACCACCTGACAATTATTTGTTTTAAAAATTGTACAGAAAGTTTCTTGCTTGAATTGACGCATTATTTCCGGAGATTCGCTATATGAAGTGACAAGTTCGATCTTTGACAATAAAACAACGATATAGATTTAGTACATTTGGTAATAGATTGCTTCTGTTTCAAATATTTATCCAATATCATAAGCCATTATCAGTTTGTATCAAATCGTTTTGTGATACAGTATTAACGGTTTAATAATAATTATATTTCCGATTTATTGATTCTTCTGAACCATATGCGTTTAAATAACAGATACATAAATATTTAATTCCTACATATTCGTTTCGAAAAGCAAAATTTTTGTTTAATATATATATATTTATTCAATATTGATCAACAAGATGATTATCTGTTTTACAAAAAGTCGATGTCAAAAGCAATTTTCACTCTTCGACCATAAAAAATTTCTTTGGTTTAATAACACGAAATTTTAAAGAAGACCCGACCGGCAAGCTTTTTTTAAAAATTTTGATTAAATTGTATGGCCTCAAGCTATTACCTTTATAAGATACATTGCTAATTTTTACCGAGTTAATTAGAATTTTGTCTTTTTTGTGCTAACCACATATCATATTTTTATATGTTTTAAGGAATCTTAACTGAATCTATTTTTTCGGGAGTAAATTCGAATTTATCGCGCAAAACTTCAGTGTAACTTTCGAGGTAATAACTTTTTAAATGATAAATTTCACTCCTATAGCCCACACATTTATGACAGATACTGTATAGTGTTTGTAGTCGAATTTGCATTAGTCGATAAAATCGGCTTAGCCGGCTTAGTCAGCCGATTTTTCAAAAAATCGACTTAGTCGACTCTATGATAGGTTATATAGATTATATTAAAAATTTAGGCCAGTTTATAGTAAAATCCGAAAATTTCCGAAAAGAAAATCAACGAACATAAAACATGAGAAAGGTTGACAAAAATTTGAGGAAATCTCCGATAACATCCGAAGGTTAATCAAATAGAACTAGGAATAATCGACTCTGATTTAGCCGGCTAGGCTGATTTTTAAATATCGACTTAGTCAAGTCAATAAATAATGGTCGACTACAAACACTAATACTGTATAGTTAACACTTCTGGTTTTAATGAATATGCAAACATTTATGGATAAAAATGAATTAAGCAAACCTATTTTTAGAAATTATTTTTTAAAAAAGCAATCTGGCTGCTCAACATTTATTATTATTAAAAAAGCAATTTGGCCGCCTTTTACTATTAAACAAGCGCCATATTATTCTTATTAACATGAGGCTTACAAAATCATAAATTCAAAAGAGAATTAATTTAAAATTTTTTTATTTAATAATTATGATTTGATTAATTAAAAAAAATTTAAAAGAATCCAATCAAATTTTGCGTAACCAAAAATCTGCCAAATTGGATAAATGACCAATCAAAAAACGCTATAAATATATTCTGGGCGCGTCATCATTATACGCGAATATTGCATGCTAAACCAAAATGAGCTTTCAAGATATGGAAGAAACATCATTATCAAGCTTATTAATGGCACACAATCCTCTTGCACAGAGTGCTATATCAGATTTCCCAAACGTACTTTATGATTCTGATGAAACTGATATTGATAAAATTCTTCAAATTCTAATGCACCAATATGTTCAAGAAAAAGAAAAACTGAACAATGTAATTCCTTCTCACTCAATAGCCTTGTACATATTATGTAAATTATTGAGCATAATTTACTCGTATTTAATAAATTAAATATTAATTTATAGTTTATATAGTTGCGTTTACAACTTCAGTTATCTCTACAAAGTCACGAGTCGTCTGAGGACATCAAGGTAGCAGAAGACGCGTTCTTAATCCATTAAATGTAGTTTATGTTACATATATTTTTTGATATTTTTAGAGAATTGCCATATTAAAAGCGGATGAACAAAAATTAGATCAAGAAATTGAACAACAAATGCTGGGTAAATTTTTGATGATTGCTCTTTTTTTTTCCTATGATTTGTCGCGTAACTTATTTATTCAACTAGATCAGCGTAAAGCAAAAATTAAGTCCCAGATTTTCTGTGATCTCTGGGTAAGAAAGCACATTTCTGATACGGTTGAGCAATGTAGAAATTTTCTACCGAAACTTCGGCAGGAAATACAAGATACAAAAGACCACATTATAAGGTTTGTTACATTTCATTTCATTGTATTTCTCAGACTGATGCTTAATAATAAATAGATGATATTTACTTTATTAATGTAGGGAAAAAGAAACATTAAATGAAACTAACATTATTCATGAAGTTTTATCAGAAAGAATCGAACGACAGCCCGATGAAAATTTATCACGTGAATCGGAAAATTGGTTTGACTTTATTTGCACACTGTAAATTTTAAATTTTGCAGATTTTTGAGTTCATAATAATATATATACATCATTCTAGCATTTTAAAAAGGGAGCTTAACGATGTTAAACGCAGTTACAATACATTAATAAAAGAATTGATTAAATTCGTTGATACTCATTTCCCTCCATATAAACTTGTACGAAAAGAAGTAAGTAATAATTACAAATTATTTACAAATTTAATGAATGGATTGGTGATATATGATTTTTTTTAAAAAAAAAAAAAAAAGATGGAAGATGATGATGATGATAGTGATGATGATTATGAAAATAGCATAAATTCGTCCTTAAAAGTTCTTTTAGAAGTAAGTATTACTGAAATTTTGTGCAATTACTATCTCAACTTGAAAATGACAGATTTTTGATTATTAGGATTTGATGAACCAATCGTTTAATAACCCAAGCGACCCTTATCTGTATATAGATACGAATAAGGTATGGTCTCCATATGTTGAGACCTTAATATGCGCAGGAATTGCAAGAAGGCATCCTCTAAATACCAATAAGATTGCATTAGTAGAATTTCACTTGTAAATTGAAGGCAGTTCAAATTTCCTATAATAAAATGATTATATTATTTGTGAATGTGAACTTTAGAGTTTGAAAAAAAAGAAATAATAAATGGATGATTATATTTCCCCCTTGTATGTTCTTTTTTCCTTTTTTTTTTTAAAAAAGAAAAAATCAAAATAATAATATATTCGCCGAGATTATTATATTCGGGATTTTTTTTTCTCGAGATTTAGATTCGAATCAATGAATTGTCGAAATATTGCTCTTTCGAGATTTTGAGCTTCGGGATATAATTTAAATCTTCGGGATTTTTAACGACCCCATATACGATAGATCAAGTGATCATAAAATATGCCTTTGATAAATTTTGATTCTTGAAATGAAGTTCATTCCATTCTCTCCTAGGCTGAAATCTAAACAAATAGATGGAATTACTAATGATACTCCAACAAATCCACCTAGAGTTATCCACCAAAAAGACGGATATGAAAAATAGACAACTTAATGTGATCGCCCAGGCAATTTTAATCGAAAAGCTAAACAAATAGATAATATTCCAACAAATCCACCTCACCAAAAGACGAATGTAATAGATAGCTTAATGTGTTCGCTCATGCAATTAGGGTGGCTGTGCGACGTAATCGCACTAAAGCCAGGAACATTATATGAGTACATTTTAAAATTAATAAAAATTTTAAAAATAGAATTTATTACATTACGTATAATTTTCAGAAAGGTTAAAACTTCATTATTCTTGTGGAATTAAATTATATCTATTATTTTACGCTATCAATTATTTCATTATTTCATTCCGGCTATGCTCCTACTATAATTGTATTTACCATCGTCGTATCATATATTGTTATCTTTTTAAACTCATCGATTTATTTTTAACCTACTGTTGGCAGAGGGTGATTTAGATTACGCATAAGAGTTATAACATATAGTACACGGGTGCGAGACAAGGTAAAAAAAGTTGAAAATAAAAATACGTTTAGGCCATTTAGCATATTAGTTATACATATAATCTGACTACAAAACAGAATAAAAATTTGTTAATAATATGTCTACTGTTGCATAAATAAATAATATATAGTAATAAATAGTTACGTACTTTCTGAATTAAAAATAAAGCAATCGACACAAATAAATAAGTGAACCTGGATCACCAAGAAACACTTTATAGACAACTTAATTCATAGACAGACAAGGCTATTTCTGTATTTACAGACGATTAATTCAGACAAATTTATTTGTAGACAACATATTTCACCGACAATTTTACCCTAACTACAATGGCTAGAATTACTTTGTAAAATGAGCTGTCAATGAAATAAACTGTCTATGAAACGAACTTGTAAGTACAATTAAAACTGCAATTTTGCTATTTAATCTCAGATATATAGACTCCATATTATCTAGGCAAGGCAATTACCCGGGCTACTTATTTATACTTTAAAGTCGTTTAGCCTCTTTCAGTTTCACGTGACTAAGCGTCAAGGCTTCGAAGAATTTATTATCGTGAATGCGGCATCGGTCATGTGTAACTAATATACTATTTATATAGCTTGTAAAACTAATTCTTTATTAAATAATTCTTTATACGTATATATATATATATATTATCGAATAATTGTTAGGCAAGATTTGAGCACATCTGATACTTTGTTGATTTAAAACACTGTAATAATACAACTTTGTATAATGTCAGGCATATAGAAAGGTTAATATCTCAAGCTTATGTTTATTGCTAAAACTTTTTAAACATCATAATAATTAAAGCTTATCATATTTGCGCGAAATAACATCCAGTGGTATAGTTTTAGAATTTTTGCCTGAATTAAGTATCATTTAGACGAGTTTAGCTTAATTCGGGCCAAAATTCTAAACTAGATTAATGGCCCGAATTAAGCTTAATTTAGGCCAAAATTCGAAATTACATCCCTGCGCGTAAGGATGTAAGTTATGTAAGTTATATACCATATAAGGTAAGTTATAATAATAACCTTAATGCTGGCTAAATTTATTCTGACTAGTATTAATACCAAAGCTGGCCTGCTTTACTATAATATAACATAAGGTCATGTAACTTACAATATAAGATAAGTTATTACAACTCTAGATATAAATTACTATGATTTAGAGTAACTTTTGGTAAATTGGTTTTTGTATATTTTGTAATTTTAAACATATTAGTTTTTGATATTAAAATTTTTAATGATTAAAAAGTTACAATATCGATATATTTAAATCAAATAATACAAATGCTAACACTAATAATGCTAGTCAAATTTTAAAGCTAGTATTTTATATACAGTATAAGTAGTAAAAATTACTGGTACAGTTAGACCTCTCTAAATGTATATCATTGGGACCAGCTCTAGCACGTGCATTTAGAGAGATATTGCATTTAGGAAGGTAAAAATCTATAGATATAATATTAGTTGGGCCCAAAAGAAGACATGTATTTAAAGAGGTATTGCATTTAGAGGAGTAGTATTTAGAAGAGTCTGACTGTATATAAAATTCAATTTATAGTATACTATTTAAAAAACTATTTTAACAAATTTTTAACTTAAAGCTAAATTATTATTATTTTTTTTTAGCAATCTTGCCTTTATTGTTTGTTAAAAAAAACAAATTATATAATATTTACAATTATAATCTTAAACTATATAAATAAAAACTTATTTGACCATTATAAAGTACCTAAATATAATCTGCTGCATCTTTTTTTTAGTTATTCTAGTATATAGAACTATACTAAAAATTTATAAGAAAGCTTACTACTAGCTCTGTCAAGATTGTTTTTTTCTTAATTTTTTTTTTTTACAAAGAGTATATAAAGAAAAGTAATAAAATATAAAATACTAACTATTAAAAAAACAAAAAAAAAGAAGATAAAAAAGAAAAAAAGATTACAAACAGGTACAAATAAAAGAAAAAAAGATAAAAAGAAAAACAAAAGATAATTTTAAACTTGTATTTAAGCTATAAAAATTATATAATACTCTTAAATTTAGCTTTACTTTAAATTTAATTCATATTATATATAAATTATATTCAAGATAAATTAGCTCTATAAGAATTTTCTAGAAAGCTCTATAAATCCATATTAGTTTTTGTTCTGTATATATGCAGATATATAATTTCTTATAATTTATATTTCTGGTTTAGAATTAGTAAACAATATATAATAGATCTTTTAAAAAAAATATGCTAGATTTTCTACTTTTTGTTTGATAAAAAAACAACAAATAAGTTTTTTAGCACTTTAGAAAATTTAAAAACACAAAATCTACCACTATATTTTTACTTTTCTTGAAGTTTTTAGTAAATTTTTTTTATTTTCTTTTATATTTAAGAGTAATTTATTAATAGTAGTATACTAAATCCTACCAAAAATTTTTTATATTAGAGTATCACCTTTTGCTAATTATTTTATATAGTAATACTTTTAGTTTGCTTATTAAATATATAAGAGTTTTCTAAAAAAAATAAAAGTTATCTTTTATAAAAACCACTACTTCTTAATATATATACTACTATTTTCAACAAAATTTTTGTTTTTTATTAGATAAAAATTTTGGTATAAGTGATTATTAAAAAAAGTTAAATATATTAAATTTTGTATAATAGTAATTTATTATTAAAACTAAATTATTTAAATATACTAATAACTTGTTTTTTTACTTTTTAACAAATTTTTAAATAACAATTTTTTCAAACCAAATTTTTTTATAGATTTTATAATTTATTGCTATAGTAATATACTACCATCTTTAATCAACTAATTAGAATGCAGGATTAGATTAATATAAAATTAAAACAATTATAGTTTTTTCAAAAATCAGCTATAGTATAAAATTTTATTTATAAAACCATCTCTTATATTTTAATAAAAAAAATTTCTTTCAAAATTTTAGATTAAAATTTTTTTATTAAAGTGCTCTACTCTAACTTTAATCTAACTTTTACTCTAACTCTAAATTAACAAATTAATTTTATTATTTTGATTTCATATTATATCAAATTTTATAAAGTGCAATATATCATATAGACAAAAAAATAAAAATTTTTTTTTATATAAATTAATTAAAAACTTTTTTTACTTAATATATAAAAATAGTTGTATTAATAAAATTTTGAAATATAATTTTTTAAAATTTGTATTTTTTTTTTTTTTAAGATGTTAAGGTGACCTCTATAGCCAGAGACTTTTTTATTAGACTTATTAACTTCAGGTTATACAGTTATAATAAGGGTATATCAAGCCACATGTGTACTTTTGGTACCTAATTTAAGTAGTTTGCCTGGGTTCTACACTAGCTGCTATACCTGCAACCTAACTAGAAGATTACTTATTTAAGCTCTCTGATTATTACTTAATGAGAGTACGACTAGCTATACATGCAACTTTTGATTGCCTATTTAAGTAATTTGCTCTAGGTTTCACACTAGCTACCATACCTATATCCTAACTATGGAGATACCTATTTAAACCTTCTAGTCATAACTGCTGTCCATTCCAAGGTGTAACTTACTATTCATATGTAAATTTTGCGATATCTGTAGATTTTACACCCATCTTAGGACTTACTAACTATTTTTGGCTAATCTATCTACAAGATAAACCTAACAGAGTAGTCCATATCCTACATATGTTTATATCTGCATATTTGGTAATTTCTTTCTAACTAGTACCTGTTGTGCTGCTATCACCAGGTTTGTATCTCAAGCTATCCTTTAGGATACTGCCATAACCCGATTCGTATCTCAAGCCACAACCTTTCTAATTAGTCTTTTATTATGTACTCCTTGCCTTTGTAATGTTTACACAACCCAAGTACTTATATTTAAACTTTTCTTCTTTTTTGAATTCTTTACCAGTCTCTTCCTTACTTCTAGCCAATAATCTGGAAGAGTCAGTTTGCCCAAACTTTAGATGCTTTATGATCTTTCTTTCTTTGATACATGCTTTTAGAGTACATGTTTTTTTTCTCCAGTTGGCGACCTAGTAGTTCAGCTAGTGTGTTTCCCTACTTAAGAACCTGGTCGCTTGGTTCTCTAATTTCAGTTCTCAGTTTCAAATTTGGCCTTCCTGTAATATTGTTAAAGATCATACTACCTCCCTACTCGGAACTTGCTGAATGGGTTTTCAGTAATTCCAGTTTTCTGAATTTATTGTACCAAAGCTCTCATTCAAGATGGTGTAATCAAGATTACAGATATTTGAATCTAACTAATAATCTTAATATTAATCGATACAAATCTAGTATTTTCAAAATTGTCATCTGTGGAATTTGAACTCTAGACCTGCCTTCTAGAGATGCAACAACTCTACTACTTTACTAAGTTGCTACACTCTAAAATTTATATTTTTTTATAATCTATTATAAGATTTATATAATACAAAAATTAATTTTTTAAAAATCTTTTGTTTTGTTAAGAATGTTAATATTTATTAGATAATATTTTAAAGTATAAAAGATCAAAAAAATCTTATCTTAGTTTAATTTAAGGAAATTACTATTTTTACACTCTATTTTTGCTAATGCTATCTTCTAAATTTTAAAAAATGCTTTGTAAGAAGTATTGTTATTAAGAAAACTCTTCTTTTGGTTTTAATAAAAGTTGTTTATTAGATCTTTCTGGTTTTAATAATAATAAAATCATTAAAATTAAACTATTCAATTTTTTTAAAAAATAAATAAAAGTTAATTAACTTTATATATATATATCTTAGAAACTACTGGTTTAAATATAATGATTTTTTTTTTTTTTTTTTTAATATTAAGGTGACCACTTAGGCCCTTGGCACTTTATTAGTACAAGCGATTAGGCCAGATGTCTGAAGACTTGACCACATGTTACATCAGTATTACAAGAGTACAACTAGCCACACGTACAACTTTTGGTTATCT